TCAGGGATGGGGACAGTCCAGCCAACAGACTGTGTAAGGCCCTCAAAATCATTTGGTCTGGCTCTGCTAAGGCATTGGGGATGAGTTAATTAAATGTTTGACCAAATACAGCAGGCTAATTTTTAAGTTGATACTTTTGTAGTACCTGCAAATCCTATCTAATAAAGAGGGAGTATGCCAATTGACCCTCATACTGTCGAAAAAGATGGTGGCGCACACAGCCAATAAAGAGGGAATATGCTAATTGACTTCCCTGTTCTCAAAGATGGCAGTGCCAAGAGCCAATAAGGAAGGAATATTATAATTGACTGCCATGCACTCAAAGATAGTGATACCCACAGCCACAAGATGGTGGCACCAAGTCCCCTCAGCCCCGCCGGAGTGCTTGCCTCTGGAGTCCCCCAGCCCCCTCAGCCTCCCAGGGCTGACCTGAGGCACAGATGGTGGCTGTCCAGCTACCCAGGGCCGCTTGAGGCTCAGTTAACAAGGGCTGGCCAAGGCCTGCACTGTTGGCAGTGGCAGGAGCAGAGATGTGATGGGGCCTCGCCTTCCCCTGATTGCCGAGTTGCCTCCTGCCCCTGAGGGCTCTTGGACTATGACAGGGCACAGGCCAGGCTGAGGGACCCTCCCTGCAGTGCATGAATTTTCATGCACTGGGCCTCTAGTAATGTTATAACTATACAAATGGCCCTTGGCAGAAAAGTTTCCCCATCCCTGCTTTAAAATTTATCACAACTGTATCCTTCCAAATGTTATTTGGCTTTCAAGATTTTAGCTTTCTATGCAATTAAAAAAAAAATCCACTCTTTAGCCTTTTACATCACTTGTAAAATTTTGGGCAAAGTTACTTAATCTCTGTGGGCCTCGGTCACCTTGTCTGTAAAAGGGGATCAGATAGCATCAGTAACTGAGAGACTGCACATGAGAGAGCCCACCACAGCTGCTGGTGAGCCTGTGGGGCCTGCGGGGCCTGAGTGTAGAAGGCTGCGCTGGAACAAAGACCCCAGTGCGTGAAAGGCCAGGCTCTGAGCGAGAGGCCGGCCCCACAAAGCCTGCTTTCCAGCAATGCCGTCATCCCCAGAAGGCGTGCTTGGATGATAATGGCTCTCGCTACAAATTCTATTAACTCTAATAGTTGTTCTGTGGTGAATGGATAATGCGTTTAGCAGAAATAGACCCAATCAATTTATATGGAACACATAAAACTTTCTCATTGGAATTGGCATCTGTTCTTGAATCACAGGAGCGTGTGTGGGGATGGAAGGTCTGTCACCCTCACTTCTGGGCACATCCACCGTGTCCTGGGTTAATTAGAGAGCTGGGCCAGGTAACGCTCGGGCTTCCTTATGCCCAGCATCACAGCTGGCTAGTGCAGTCCCCTCCCCCCCAGGCGAGGCCAGGGGTTCTGACTCCCGGTCCAGTGCTTTTTTCATGATCCCATTCAGAAAACGGTAAACCAACTGTCACCAACTAACTCGGAGGCAAGACTGTGGTTTGAGTCAGGACTCCATGAGTTGTAGTGACTTGTGGGTTGGGCCCAAGTTTTAGCCTGGTTCTCACTTAGACTGAGCTGATCCCTTTCCATTCTCCCTACACAGCCAGAGGAGAGAGGTTTAAGGAAGCAGAGGATCGCCTGTCCTTACCTGGGCTTTCAGAGAGACAGGACGGCTGAGCCCACTCCCACCTCCTCACCACTAATGCTCATTAGAGAGAGGGCGAGCGCTCCAGAGCTCAGTGATTGCATTATCCCAACCATTTGGTTAGTGTAATTGTATGTGCAAAGCTGACAAATGTAATTTTCTCAGACTTAATACTTATCCCATTTTCTCTTTTTTTTTTTTTTTTTTTTTTTTCCTTTCTTTCTGATTAGCTAGTGACTCAGGCTTTCGAGAATGCTTCCAGAGGCACCTGGCCGGGCTTTTCTCTGCCAGGCTCTCATTGGAGGGGATGGCTGGCTGGAGGGGCAGGGGAATGGGGGATTAGGCATGTTTAGGCAGATTTGGAAGCTCTGTGAGTGAATCTCCTGAAACTGCCTCTGTGTTTCCAGGCGGTGCCCTAGCCAGCCGCCCCGTTCCAGCCCAGCAGAAATAGACAGTGCTGAGCTTTGGAAGAAAATTTTATCTTGTCTCCTCTGACAACTGATTTGTTTACTGGTCACGCAGGGGCTCTCATCTGGACGCACTATCCTCTTTTTCATTTTTGGTGTTGATCTGTGGTTGGGGACTTGGACACTCAGAAGTAGCTCAGCTGGCTGAAAAAAATGTAGGTTTCAGGCCCCCTTCCTTACCAGCTGTGGGCCACTAATAATCTTCCAGATCCTCCTCCTCCTCCTCCCTACAGTGGGAACACAGTAGTTGTCCCTGGGCAGTGAGGACGGGAGGAGCTGATGTGTGGAACACCCTAGCCAGGGTCAGGTGTGCTCATGGATTACTCCTTTCCTCCCCTTCCCTTCCCCTTGGGGCCCCAGCCCTCCTGTCCTCTCAAGGGGGCCTTCCTGGTAGGAGCTCTACGTTTGGATTAAGTTGCAGACTGTGGTCTCCCTGTTCCCAGGCCACGTGGCACCCTTGGGCCAAAAGCTCACCTCGCCCCTGTGGTGCTGGGCGCATGGAAGGCAGGTGTCAGACCAGTGTTTGCCTGCCGATTATTTGAGTGGGTGTGGCCTTGACCTAGGCCTCTCCATGAGCCAGTTGGACCCCCTCTCCTCCAGGATCCCCCTCCTTCAGGACCCTCCTCCCTCAGGATCCTCCTCTGCAGAACTCCTCTTGCCATAGGCGTGTAACTGGATGTAATCCTTGCCTACCCGTTCTCTCCTTTTTCTAACCTGTGAGTTCTCTGAGCTCCTGGCCTGAATCTGATCCTGCTCAGCATTTCTGCCCTCAGAGAAGTCTGTTGGAACTGTGGACTCAACATGGATCCAGGGGCAGCCAGCCTCCTCTCCCTGACCATGAGCCTGAGTCCTGGCCAGTGCTGATGCAGAGGGCCCAGTGGACCTTATCTTGTGGGTGGTGGGGAAAGGAGGCCCTGCTCCCCTCCCCCCATAAATCCTCTAGATGAAGACACAGGCACCGCCACCACACACTGCTAGTGTCCACAGCAAGGTGGGACTGGGAGTCTGTCAGGCTGGGGGAGAGATGCCTCCTGCTACTGAAACACACAGCAGGGGAAGGGGTGTTGGGAGCCTGCCTCGGCTTCTCCCTCACCTGAGCTGCTCCCTGATGTGACAGTGAGTCCTGGAGAAGCACTAACTCTTTATAGGGCTCTCTAAAGCCTCTCAGGGGCTCAGTGTCCTCTTCCCTTTGAGTTGGGGTTACTCCAAAAGGGGGTCTAAAGAACCAATGCTGACCCACAGCCATCTGCCCATCATCCTCTCTGAGGCTGGGCCACTCAGTAGAGGAAGCTGTGTCCCAGCCATTGTCATCTCCAGCCATCAGGCAGCCACTCACTTCTGATTTTATCTGGAGGTTGTAGGGGAGTACCAACGCTTTTGAGCCGCTGTGTGATTTCATTAGTCTGAGTGGCCACTGGCCAGGCCCTTATCGACCAGCCCTTTAGGGACAGTGGGAGTTATATGGCAATAAACCCGAGTCAGGCAGGATGGATGGCAGGTTTGAGAATGCTGGCTGCAGGGGAGCCAGCAGCTGACATCTGAGAACTGAGCCCAAGCATTAAGTGTCCACCAATCAATCAGTAAGTGTTTCCGGAACCCCTGCCGTGTAACCAGTGCTGGTGGTTAGGCAGGCAGTGGCTTGCTGTGACGTTTGCTTAGTATGTCCTGAATTTATCACAGGAGCCATGGTTGACCAAGGGCCGGGAAGTCAGGGAGATAGTTGCTCCCTTATGAGGTGAGGTGCGGGGAAGGCCACTGAACGATGAAAGCAGGTCCTCCCTTGTGTTCATGAGCCATGAACCACGAGGCAGAGTTGGGAAACAGAGATTACAGCGTGGAAAACTGGAAAGGTATTTTGAGCTTCCCGTTAAAGGAGAAGAGAGGAAGGGGGAGGTAATGGGAGAAGCCATGAACTTTTCCCCTGGTTTGGAGCTGTGAGGTCAGGCAGGAGCTAGGGCGGGATATTTAATCCTGGGATAGCTTTTCGGAGGAAAGGAAGAATGACGGCAACCACAAAGCAAAGCTAATACTTAATATGTTGAGAGTCAATGCATTCAATGTAATTTGCAGTAAACAAAGATTGCACATTTATAAACAGAAGTGAGAGATTTATCATTTATCTATCTGTATGACCTATTACAGGAGCAAGAGTGTCTCCTGGTTACTCATGTTAGAAGAAGTCTCAGTGCCCAGGCCCACCACTTACCTGGGGAACCCTGACTGTGGGTGTGGCCCAGAGGCCTTCATCAGCTTCCCTGGGGCTGGCTCATGGAGCGAATACCTGCTGAAGAACATCACTCTGGGGTCTGAGACTGACCCCAAAGGAAGCCCTGGTCAAATGGTTTAGGGCACGATGCTGAAGAGGCCTGTGTTGGAAGCGGCAGAGCCCCCTCAAGCAGTCCTTCATCCCAGGACTACTGAGTCAAGCAGTGTTGATGGGAGCCAAGCTCTGGGGACATGTGTTGAACCTGACGCCCTGGGGGGTTTCCCCAGAATGGGCTAGCCTGCCTTCTTGCAATAGGTAACCTTGGCCTTGGGCCAACCCTCTTTATGTGGAGGAAAGATCTGATAGAAGGTTTGATTTGTTCAGTGAATAGAGACTGGTTTCAGGGGGCTGAGTTGAGGCGAGATCAGCTTGGTTCTCTGTTTGTGCCAGCGCCTGGGTGTTCCCTATGCATGGAGGAGCGCTCCTTCGCACACCTTTCAGAAGTTCTGTAGTAAGAGAGCCAGCTTCTTCTTGGAGGCCCATAGCCAAAGTGCAAGTAATGTTCCTTTTAAAGGTTGACTTCTTATTCTTTAAACTTAGCTCCCCATCTTGATCATAGCACCCATCTTTCTCCTGCCTTTTGCAACAAATAATTACTTTGCTAATATTAGTAAGTTGAACTCTTACCTGTAGGGTCAAAAAGGGGGGTCTCTCTTGGTATATTTTCCCAGAGTTTCATCTCCTTGTTAGGGTTTCTTTCAAACAGATTTCTTGACTTGGGTGCTGTATTCTGCAGCATCTTGTCCTCCCCACTGACTGGAATAGAGAAGATCCCATTGGTTGAGTTAAGTGAGGCTCCGCTGTAGGGAGGTGAGCATGCCCCAAGGGAAGGTGGGAGAAAGTGGCTTAGGTGAAGGAAGGACAGTGAACCTGGGTAGTCTGGGTGGGAACAAGTGCCGGGGGTAGGATGGACTCACTGGTGAGGTAGCAGTCCAGGCTGATGGAGATATTGTCAAAAGCCACGGTGGCTCTGGATCCTTGTCCCCACCATACGACAATCTGCAGCCAGAACCTGTACATGTGTTAAGAGGAGTGTGAGGAACAACCTGGCTTGGCCACATCTTAGGGCTCAGCGTCCAGCAAATGGGTGCCGAGACCCTTCACATGATCACTGTTCATCAGCCTTCCCTGTCTCAGAGCGACTGTCCGAGGAGGCAGTCAACATCTCCCCCAACTTGTCCAGCACAATGCACTGCCCTCTCTGAGGGACTGTTCCACATGTTAATCAATTTGGAGTTTGGGGCTCAGGTCTAGAACTCCTGGGAACTCTAGGAGAGCTTTCACTTTCTGGGTGTGCAGGATGGGTGGACATGGGTAGGCTTGATGTTTCCAGTGTGGTCTAAGTCATTGTTAAAATACTAAAATGCTTCTGTACAAACTGAGAAAGAGCCACTGTCCCCTGACAGGCCCCTTCCTGTTGCTTTAGGCCACCTGGCTCTTTCCTGGTGCCCCCTAGATTTCACACAGCAGGGGTCTCAAGGATTTGGTATCCAGCATCAGTTCCCACTGGAGTTGGTCTGTGTGGTGCCCAACTGGTTGTTACATATTAAATGATTTGACTCTGAGTCTTGGGGGTGTTTGTAAACAACACAGAGTGGGCCATAAGTATTAACAGTAAACATAATGAGATATCACTTTCTACCTCTCATAGCCTTGCAGGTCAAGGACTGTGGCCAGGGAAGGCTTGAGAGTAGGCTAAAAAACAAACAAACAAACAAACAAACAAACAAACACACATCTTCAGTTCATTTGTATCCTGGGGAGCCGTCCTTCTGGAAGCTGTCAGCCATATCTTTCCTGCTGTGAAGTGAGAGTTTCCTGAGAGCTTTAAAAACCTTTCCTCCCTTCAAAGTCAATCCAGAATGACCTGTAGGAGGCTGTGCAGTCTCTGGTGTGGGTGTTAAAATATCAAGAGAGGGAGCCCATGTCCCAATGGGTGACTGAGTTAACCACATGTAGGATGGCTGTTCCATGGAATGCCCATCCCCAATATAAAAGGAAGGACCAGATACAGGCTGTAAATTGGATGGAGCTGAAAAACATTATGCTGAGTTAAAGAGATCAGACAATAAGTTAAATATCTCATTATTCTATTCATAGAAATTACTCCATTTATATGAAACTAGAGACCCAATGCATAAAATTCATGCACAGGGGGAGTCGCAGGGGGGAGGGGAATGGTGGCCTGCGGCCATTCGCAGTTCAGAACCCCTCAGGGGATGTATGATTGCCGACTTACACCTGCTCCCTGCTTTGGCTACTGCTGCTATGCTCTCCAGCCATGAACCCAGCTTCTGGCTGAGCAGTGCTCCCTCTGTGGGAGCACATTGATCACCAGGGGGCAGCTCCTGTGTTGAAAATATGCTCCCTTGTGGTCAGTGTGCATCAAAGCAACCAGTCATTCTGGTCATTCCACCATAAGGGTTACTTAGGCTTTTATTATATAGAATAGACTAGAGGCCTGGTGCATGAAATTTGTGCACTAGGGGAGGGGGGCCCTCAGCCCAGCCTGAACCCTCTCCAATCAGGGACCCCTCAGGGAATGTCTAACTATTGGTTTAAGGCCGGATCCCATAGGATTCGGCCTTAAACTGGCAGTTGAACATCCCTCTCACAAACTGGGACCTCTGGCTCCTAACTGCTCAACTGACTGCCTGCCTGATCACCCCAAACTGCCCTCTCTGATAGCCTGGTCACCCCCAACTACCCCCCCACCCTCATTAACCCCCCAGCCGATCTGATCGCCCCATTCAGCCTGTTTAGTCTTCTGTTTGGTTGTTTCAGTTGTGATGGTCACTTAGGCATATATATATAGATTTAGAATAGGCAAATCTATAGGCAGAAAGCAGATCAATGTTTGCCTACAGCTGGGAGTCAGGAGGTATTGACTGAAAACTAGCTCAGGGTTCTTTCTGGGGTGATGAAAATATTCTAACATTGGATTGTGGTGCTCTTTGTACAACTGTGCATTTGCTAAAAGTTGTCAACATGCACACCTATAGCTCAATAAAGCTGTCAGTACAAAGGAGAGAGAGAAGGAACCCACACAATAGATTGGCAGCCAGGGGTAGCAAGAGCAGAAAACCAGAGCATTGTCAGGAATGGGAGACTGATGGGTGGGAGACAGCAGGACATAGAGGGCAGAGGAAGCACAGGACACAGGCCTATGGTGGATTCTAAGAGAAATCCAAAAGGAATACTGCATTCAAGTTGCTTACAGTCTAGTGGGGAGATGAAGAGTGTATACATACATCAGTGTAGAATAGGTAGAGGAAGGTAAATGCCACATGAGGTGTGAATAAAATCCTCTAAGAGCTCAGAGAAAGGAGGAAGCCCACCAGGTTTGGGAGGTGGGGAGCATTTCTCAGGGGAGGTGGTATTTAAGTTGGTGTTGAAAAAAGAAAAGGACTCAAAGGTGTGGGTGTGGGGATGGAGGACAGTGAGGAGAGGGCATTCCTAGTAGAGGAACTGGAGTGAGGGATGTCTCAGAGCAAGTCAGGGCCCCTCTGGCTCAGGTGTGAGAGGTGTGGAAGGAGATGGAGATGATGAGAGGGATGGGTATATCACACACCTTCAGTAGCTTTTCTGAGTCTTGCACAATTACAGCTCTCATTCCCCAGATCTCCTTGGGGCACATGGTCCATAGTTGAGTTCCTGGCTGGAGCCTCAGTATCCCAGGACACAGTAGGCAGAGCTGCCTGATGTTCCCACACGACCATGGGTAAGGGGCCCACAACCACCTTCTTGAGTCTCCCCTTTTTGATTAGATCATCCCTAATCTGACATCCATAGGCCAAGGGCCACCCTGGGCACTGATTTCAATGCTGAGCTGCATCATGGGTGTGCCATCTCTATGGGCCTGGGATGCCTGAGCCAGTAAATTATACATGAGTGCCTATCAAGCATGGGGGGAGGGGGACAAAAACTCCTGTTTCCCCTTAAATGGGCCCTTCTGGAGAAACTGAACATCTCCCCTCCTACCTGCTTTATTATTGAGAGATTAGAGCTGCAAAGTTCTCAACCAGTCACTGGGACTCTTAGCATGGATGACCTGATGCAGGCTGGGGCTCAGATGGTTTCTAAATAGAATAGTTTCTAAGTGCTCTGTAAGGCAACGGCGGTGACAGCTGCTGTTTAAAAGAGTTTGATTGACACTTGGAATTGCACATATTTTGAGTCAGGAACACTCACAATAATCAGGGAAGACTCAGTCAGATGTCGCATCAGCTGTAAACACACATTGCTTCCTCTGTCTATCTAGGAAGCCAACCCTTCCCTTCAAGCTCCAGGTTCTAGAGGTTACAGGGAAGGGACAGGTGGGGCAAAGGGTGTGGAGGGCAGGGGTGAAGCAGAGGCAGTTTGGGAATGGGGTCTGGGGATGATAGGAGATGGGACAGGAAGGAGACAGCAGAACCATCTAGGAGTTTCTTTTCTGTGGGGTTCACTGGCCAAGAGGTGGTCCCTGGGGCCACCAGATTCAGGCTACTCTACTTTGCATGGTAGCTGGTTGTGGGTCTTTATCTGAACCTCAGGTGAAGAAGGGATTGCTCCTGGCTCTGCTCAGCATCTCCCTGATGGAGGTGGGTGAGGCTTCCTCAAGGCTCTCACAGTCATCCTGGCCCAACCACTCTTTTCTGTCGACCCCTCCCCGCCCCTCCCACCCAATGCAGATAGCAGGCTACTCTCCAGAGTGGGCCATGGCCTCAGGCCTCAGTTCTGGCATGTGCCCCGGGGACTCCTCTAGAAGAGGAAGTTCTAGCATGCACTGGGCAGAGTGCTCCGGGTCTGAGGGAAAGTTCTAGCAGGTACCAGGTGAGCTGCTCGGGGTTTGAGGGAAAGCCAGTCTGTCCCTGTCAGGATCACAGGGGCTAGGTGGTGTAATGAACATATAGGTTATTCTGCTGCCCCTGCCTCAAAGCCTTAGCTCTGTGTTTGGGAAGGGAACCAAGCCCCCATGTCCAGAAAATCCCTGCCCTCCCTCTCCGTGGGCGGCTGAGCAGGGAGAAGAGAAGAGGCGGCTCTTCGGCTCCTCCAGCGCCCTCTCTGATCCGTGCTTCTTAAGATGGTGGCAGCTGAGCTCCCTCTTTCTCGCCCTCAGCATTGCAGATGTCACTCCCTGCCCTTCAATGGTTCACAACTGCTCAACGCTGCTTTGGTTTCTCCAAAGAAGACACTTAATTGAATGGGCTGTTGTTGGCTTCTCTCTCTCTCTCTCTCTCTCTCTCTCTCTCTCTCTCTCTCTCTCTCTCTCTCTCTCTCTCTCTCTCTCTCTCCCCAACTGGTGGAGTTTGGAACTTGTTGCTAAAACAGCTCTGGCTGGAGATCCCGGATGAAGCCTGGCTTTTCATAAAGAATCAGGCCCTGACTCCAGGCTGCACAACTTGACAAAAAGGCCTGCTGAAAGTTGGCCCTGGAGGATTCTGAAAGTTGGCCATTAGGGCAGTGGGCGAGGCTGAGGGGTGGCCTTGGAACTGGGCATCTCCCAGATTCCGGGTGATGTCTGTGCAGAAAGTGCTGATGTTGCTCACGCACAGCTCGAAAAAATGCTCAATCTAGTTTAGATCACAGACCGCTAATGGACAGTGAATGTGATGCCTTATTTGCCACCCGGCCAGCCTTAGGGGCTGACAAAGCTAATTAAGTTCACTTCATGATCTTAAGTAGCTGACACAAAGGTGTGTCTGAATGTGGACTGAGGAAATAGGAATTATTTGGAGAGAGGACAAGACAGAATGGCCGGAGTGGAGAAAAGGCATTTGACAGATGGGCCCCATGTCTCAGATTCCTCTGTCAGCCACCATGGGCTCGGAAGGAGGGGTGCCCAGCTCCCCTCTCGCAGCTGAGGCCTGGCTGGGCTCTGGCTGTTTCGAGAGAGCCGGCACATTCTGCTGAGGAAAAGCACCTTCTCCAATGGCTCACTGCACAATTGATTTGCTCAGCAAAGTATTCTAAAATGGACCGTCACAAAGCTTGGGTCGCAGTATGCATTTCTATTAGAAAAATGTATGTGAT